TTTTTGCATTACCCGGTCCATCCTTATTGACATTCACCAGATCTAGGACTATCGACGAATTAACATAAGTTATTACTTCCTAAAATTTAATTTATAACGAAAGATTTGTTTTTATATAATTGTCTATTTGTGAATTGACATGATTAACGCACCATTATTAGCACTTTCTTTTCGTACGTGTCTTTTTGTAACAATGGTAGAATCTTCGTCCCCAGCATTAGGACCATCAGATAAATTATTCCCATTGGAACCGGGGATACTAGTGCTTACATTAGCACCAGAGGTATCCTCATTACGAATCCACTTAAACACGGGAGGTACCACACCCTTTTCAAAATAAAGCGTTGCCAAAGTAACAGCTTTGTCTTTTTGAAAGGCTTCAGAATTTGGACCCTCCATATATGTTGTATACGGTTCAATTTTTGGGTCAAATGGCTTTTGATCCTTTTCTGGTACTATAGAATAAGAACCATCTTCGAAATAACAAACTAGGCTTTCTCCTTCACCTGGATACTGAACGTCATTGTCCATTTTTTGTTTAAATATTTCTATTTCTTTTCGCGGAACAACCTTTTATTTATTTATTTATTATAATTAAAAAAAAATCGTAAGTTAGATAATTTCTGAAGGTGATTTTTACGTGTTTTAAAATAGATCAAGATTTGTTTTAATTACTAAGGCCGGCCACCAGTGAGGAGCATCAGGGTCGTCTGGATCGACAAAAACTACTTTTCTTCTAAGGTGTTTTGATTCATTTAACCGTCGGTTATTAGATCTGATTTCCATTACGTTGAGGCTTTATTACTGCAAGTCAGATCAAACTGTTGAAATCTAGTCTTGTATTCACACTACGCACGTCCGTACTAGAACGGTTCAAATAGTTGGTCACAAATCATGTGATAAAATTGACAACGATTGGATAAATATATCTTAGACAAATTCATATTTATAGATTATTGTGAGGGTTAGGACTACATAGAATTATGTTTAGGTTAGTGCAAG